CGAGATGAAAGCTTGTGCAAAAAACGATTCTGTCACGAAGCGCCTCCCTTCCGACGAGTTCTCATCACGCGGTCTAGCTCTCTGTCGAGTCACGCACTCGTTCAAAAAAATAAATTCTGAAGCAGGTATTTATTTTACGAAACTCTTTTAAACTCATAATTGCCATTATTTTTCACACTTTCTTTATGGAACTTAATTGTTTCTTGCTTAATGTGAGTTGAGTTATATTCTGGTTGAAAAGGTGTTGTATTCCTTTATCTTCATCATCATCATCATTATCATCATCACCGTCATTGTGTTCCAAAATACGAACGGTAAATCCAAAATCAGCCATTTTGAATAAAATATCTTTTATTTTCAAAATGGAAGTCGGTGAAAAAAATCAACCCAAATCTTGAAAAAAAAGACGTCAAATTCACTCATCTTTGACTCGGCAGTTAGTGGTCACGCAAACAATGTCTATCGTGAACAATGTCGCAAGAGCTCTTGTTGACAAGTTGAGTATGAAATTCGCGGGAGAAATCGCGCAGGACACTGATGGTTATGATCTATTCAAGCTCTGTGAAGACCTCTTCTTGACTGAGAATGAGAGGACGAGCATGTTCAGAGAAGGTATTCAGTCTGATGATCTTTCGAAGATCAGATGCTATGCGGAAGATATGAAGAAATCTGGAGATGTAAAGGAGAATAAGTTTATTGATGTCTATCAGAACAAATGTAGGATTCTATTGAATCATAAGATTCTGAAAGATCATGGAGTCTTCTTGACCTATTTATGAGATAACTTCTCATTTACAAAGACACAATTTTGACAGAAGAACAAATGAAGGCACGCCACGACTTCTTTGCGAGAAGATACAACGTTAATATTTGAAAATCTTCAAACGAACAATTAACACCCCGATGGCGTGACAAGAGGATCGTTCAAGTTGATATTATTCACATCCTCTTCAGAACTCACGAGTGAGACATTCTGAAGAGGGTGTGAAGATTATTCACAGGTGAATAATTTAAGTTGTCTTTGAAATCAAGGTTGTCTCCAAAATGTGCAAGAACTGTTTTTTTTTATTTTTTCATCAAGGTTGATTTTAAGATTAAATTCATGAGTTGCCTTAAAAATCAAGGTGGATATTAAAATGCGCCAGAACCCCCATTTTTATCCTACTCAATGCGAAAACGGAAAAATGGAACCCATTTTTTAATTTTTATAATGGTACATGTTTTTGGTTAATCTTTCTAGGACTAGGTTATATACAAAGTTAAAAATTTTATTTGATTCTAATGCTAGTTTCCCTTTAGTTTGAGTTCACATATTTGATTTACTCAATCAGTTGATAATTGATTCCTAGGAAGTGACTCAAACTAAGGTTTGAAGTTCACCAAGAATAAGATTTATTCATGCCGTCTCTTAAGTTACATTATTATTACATGTATTATGGCACTTGAAGTTGAGTTATACTTGACGAATGAGGAAAGTCCTCTTACAGTTTTGAGTTAAGTTAAGTCCTTACTTCTTTTCAAAACAGCGAGATAGTGACTAAACATATCTGACACCACTACCTCACTCATTGAGCAAAAGGAAACTAAAATACTTATGCTGAAATTTTTCTTTGCATTCAGCATTGAGTTCTTCATCCAACTCAAAATAATATTCTGATCATAATGGAAAGTCATGGCACAGCAGTCAAGCGCTGCATTCAAATGTACATTAGGGTGGTCTCAACCTCTGAATTAAAGTCAATTGAGACAAGATTTAACATCATCTACTTTGGAGTGATCAATTCCCTTTTTTGTTGTAGCACAGCTAACATACCTAACTTCTCATAATTGCCTTGAGGAAAGTTAGATTTGACTGAATGGCTGCTTCTGCATCCTTTATTGAATCCTGGTTTTTATTATTTTATTTTATTTTTTTTACGTAAATACTGTTACTTTTCTAAGATATTTTTGTCAATTCCTCAGCATTTTAAGGTAAGTTTTAAACTAACGCGGAACGGCAGTTCTCTGCAACGAAGTATTCAAATTAAACTTAGCAATCATCGGTAGTTGTAGCAGACTTTCACAACACCAGAAATCATAGAAAATCCGTCAAAAGAGTTAATTTAAGCTCAAAATAAAGGCATTTACCCGATGTATAAAGATCCTACACAACCTGGTTAAGTCACCCTGTCGGGTAAACGGACGCGACTTTTGACTGTTCTATAAGCTTTTTTTACAACCTTGCCACCTCAATCCGTTCTGGGAATGTCTCAAAGGAACTCATTAAGATTAGTAAGGTCCAAATAAAATTAAACAGAAACGTTATCGAACGCAAAATCTCAAGACAACTACCCAAACTACAAACTTGCCGACAGCGTTGCTGCCTAATATTAGGAGTTGTTTTTTCACGGGAAAAACCGAGGCTCAAGCTTGAAGTACATGACACGGAAAACCGGAAGTGGAGAGCTTCTGCTGTATAGTATGACGAAATTATGGCTTTGTGGTTCAAAATACACACTGCGTCTTTCATGTGTCACACTGTTCCAACATTAACAATTAAAGCAAAGTAATAAATTATACAAATTTAGAACATCTAGCTAGAAAAAATTTTTTAAAACATTTAGTTCAAACGATATGGAATCGCTGAAAAACTAATCTACATAAGAGGTAAGGCGTAGCAACAAGAAGCAGGAATTGTACCAAAAAAAAGGCAAAAACTTTTTACGCTCCAAGTGAGCGCAATCATTTCAGTGAGCTTGTCAAGTGATCAGAGTAAGCGAAAACGAGTGGCTCTGAGGACGAGAATGAAACTCTCTCGATTTTCGCTGTCTTTCTCACTCCAAAGGTATATGGAAACAAAGAATGTTCCTGTCGTCGATGAAAAACTTTTCCCAAAAGAATTTCATTAACTTAATTCTAAAAGTGGTTGTACCAAAGACCTCCAGCAGTTCGTTTACGGTATCCAAATTCAAATCGAGCGAGTTCTTAGCTCGATCTGTTTTATGCATCTCGCGGATTTCCACACTCAGGGCCAAAAGGGTAGCCATGAGATTGATAAAGGTAACAATGAAAAACAAGAACACTGTCAGTTTAGATATAACAAAAATGTAAATGGGATATTTCTGCTTTCAGGAGTTCAACCTGGTGTAATTTAAAAATCCCACGACCAAAGTTCTCAGAATGTAACTTACCATCAAGCAAACAATTACGACCCAAGATGACAAAGATTTGATACAAATTAGTAGCTTAACATATCGAAACAAGGCGACGGTCAAAAGGATTATTAAAGTCCAAAATGAAGGAACGTATTTGAGCCGATGTAAGATTGCCTTGTAACCGGGGAACTGCGGAACATTCTGAAGGGCAGCTATAGAGATAGTGGTGAAAATACATAGCGAAGCCAGCCACACCATCGTGACATCCTCTGAAAAAGGGAAAGCCGCATCTGTTTTGCACTGATATGCAGTGGATTTGTCCCGGAAGCAAGCAACATCACGAACCATGTACAAAAATGCTCCAACTAGCTGCCATAGCAACAACAAACTGAAAGCCAGTGCTGAGAGTTTTACATGATACGGATTTCTTTGTCTTTGTCCGTCTGGAAAGAAGTGCCAGTAGCAATCGGCTGATTCCTGTAACAGTGGCCGGCGTATCTCAATACAAGTTGTCATGGCAATGTCAACACCACCTGACTAGGATAAGATAAAATTAAGTTGACCTTATAATGAAACAAATATAAGAAAAATATTACAAAGAGTTTCCCATTGATATCAGCTGCACCCCTAAGCGGTCGAAAGACTCCATCACTTTTAACCGAATATACGGTAGTTTTTTTTACCCTAATTCTTATTCTTGAGAACTTAAAAGATTACAACTGTTATGGTAAATACAGTAACACGCTCTTTAAGTGCCTTCGCCGTAAGCTAAACCAGCTTTTACGTATGTGGCACTTGTGATTGGTTTCTTTGATCACCAGACAATCGTGTATGATCAATACAGTTTACCCTGATACTGATATAATTTTTCAGCATACCTTCCATTCGCTCTCCTGCGAATTATCTCTTGACAAACCTTATTACGCCTCAGCTTCTTGGGAAGGAAATAACACAGTGATACTCCGCAGCTAAGAGAACCCGTGTTAATCATTAGTTAGCTGTATTTTCCAATTGTCATTTCTTAGGAGGAAAACTTCAAGATATTTAGACCCTTTTTGAAGCTAGATTCCTTTTCTTTTCCAGTCTTTCGAGTTAATGTTCCATGCAAAGCAGTTTCCTTGTTGATTTCTGTACCTTGTTTGAACGGAATTTGATCATATGAATTAACGTTTAAGCGTTTGACGAAAATGAAATACTGTATGCATAAATCAATTGATTGAACAACTTGTCAGTTTAGTCGTTGTCTGAGTCACTGCAAACAGTGAAACTGTCGATATACTTCTTTTCATTTCTGTTTACGGCGAAAATATAGATATTTTTCACTGATTTATGATATAATTAAATGAAATATTGAATGTAAAGATCGTTGTTAATCAGTTCAGGTTAGATTAGGAGCAATCCTTTGAATCAACCTCACCTCTTATTATTTTAAACACTGAATTAGATGCGTTTGAACAAGTACGTAACAAAGAGAGCACGCAGTCTCAGTATTAAAAATAAAATGGAATTGGATCATCAGGGTTTAAACCCGTTTATATGTTAATTGGAAACAAAAGAATTAACTAACAATTTCGCTTGAAACACGAAAACACGAATACTATGCCATGTGCATTTCTGACCAGACGAGGAAATGTGAATTCAAACTCTCTGCGTCCCCAGAGATAGATTGTGAACGCAACCTCGTCCGTCGACCAAACGGCGGTTTTTTCAAGCAGAAATTCGGAATTTTTCCCTTTTCAGTTAGTGTGAACAACAAGTCAAGATGTTGGTCGATATAAAGACAAACGTTTTGCACAGATAACGTCAGAGTTTTTATACACCACCCATCATCACAGCGTATGACAGCTTTCTTAAACTGTAAATGCCATGGGTTGTTTTGCCTCGCGAAATAACAGAATCGAAATAGAAGTCTCAGTTACTGCGGCAACATCGACTTCAAGAATCAGAGACATTCCGCTGTCACACGAACAAAAATGCATTTTAAGAGAATTTTGGCAGCTCATTGAGCGCATTAAGAGCGTCATAGGAAAGAAAGTGTTTAAACGGTAAGTGTTTTAAAGGGTCTTGATATTAGCAGGCAAGTCAAGAATTTAAAGAAAGCGACAAAACTTTTGAGTTTGTAAAACATGTTTCGACAGAAACTTCTGTCATCTTCAGTTAATTACTGTACAAAGCGTTGAAAGTTGAATTATATAGTAAGTAGAACAATGCTAATTAAGATGAATAGTGACAACAAGAAGAGAGGTAAAGCATGCAAGTGTGAGAATTAAAAAGATAGTTTTAGATTTACATGGTGTAATTGTTGATTCAAAGATGGTTGTTCTCTTTGAATACGAATAGCCTCTTTTATCTTAAGCTGAAAACCGGTGGAGGCGTGATCTAAAACATGGAAGTTATCTGCTGAACACAGAGCGCGACAGTGCGGAGAATCTTTCAAATGCCTGAAAATGTGAGAGGCCTTGTCACTTACTAAGTGCTCTCTAACACGTGTGGAAAAATTCCGGCAGGTTTCACCGACGTAACAGGCATTACACCAGCACATACTTATAGACCACTCGTGAACGGAGCCCGTCAGGGACAGGGTCTTTCACACCAAACAAGTTACCGATTTTGAAGGAAGAGAAAACCAGTTTGATATCCAAGTCATTGCAATAGCGCTTCATAAATGGCGGATCTTTTTTTGAGTGATAGCAGAAAAGTGGCCTATGTAGGGTAGCTTAAAGTAGAACGTAGGTGAAGTGGTAGGAGGGGAACCCCGGGGATGATGATTGTTTTGAGTCCCAGTGATGAAACGGTTTATAATCTTCTCGATTAATTAAATGAGCAGGGAAAAGATTATTTTTTAGAATATCAGTAAGTTTGTTAATGTCCTCGTGAAACCCTAACCAGGTGCTATTAATCTTGTAAGCCCTATCAACGAGTGTCTTAATGAGACCCACTTTGTAAGAGTACGAGGTGAAGCTGAAATAATTAGTTAGTAACCCAGTGAAAGTTTTCTTGCGGTAAACCCTAGTTAGAGAGGAACTGGGGTCATGGTTGTCAATCAGGACATCTAAAAAGGGTAATTTGTGATTAACCTGCTTTTCCATAGTGAACTTGATGTTAGGGTGCCTAGAGTTGATATAGTCGAAAAATATAGTGGCATCTCGATCTGAGTTAAATAAGCACTCTTAAATAAGAGCAGTACTTGAACAAGTCGCTAAGAACCGAGTTCCGGTTTTAAAGAAGAACCCGAGAAATGAAAACAATCAATAATTTAATAGACAGTGAAAACTTTTTCTCGGGCTTTTTAGAGAGCAAACGCCAAAACACAAAAAGCGCCAGCGCTGTTGGGTGTTTAGCCTGTATCTCGCCAATCGGGTCATTATTTTGTGCTAAAGTGACTTTAAAATGCAAACGCACGCGCACTACCTTCGTGATAGCATAGTTCTATTGAAGATGAGGATGGAGATTCACAACACTGTAGCTGTGTCTTGTTGTGGGTATTGCTCAGTGTCTTGATTTCTTTGTATAACTGGCAAAATGGGAGTAAAATTTATTATCTAAAGTAAACGTGGATCGAATTTCAATCATTCAGAATTGATAACGATGATCATGAATGATTTTGTTTCAGACTTTTTGAGTTCAACCCAAGAATTCAAGACATATTTCCCGCCTTTACGAGTTTGAAACTTGAAGCCGTAATCAACTCTCGATCTCTGTATCTTCACGTCAGACGAGTCATGACTGCGCTGGAAAATGCTGTGTTTTCTTTAAACGACGCAGAGGTTTTCATCGAGTGTTCAATTCAGTAAGCTGTTCATTAACATTTTTCACGTGCGTTGCAAAATATTTGAAGGATAAAAAACACAATAGCGTCTATTTTGCGCGAAAATATGTACGGATATTTGTCCTTGGATATTATCTGTTCCTCGAAGCTCACAGTTTCCGCATCTTGGAACAGAAAATTCGAGAAAATGACCGCAGACAAATATTTGCACTTATTTTGGCGCCAAATTGGAGCAATTGTTTATATAGCGCTGTATGGTGATTTAAAATTCAGTAGAGGGAAGCATAGTGCTATCTAGGGGTACATATTGTTGTGAAGCGTTGTCTAGTTACTGCATTTTACGGATTTACAGTGCTATTCAGGGTTATAATGTTGTATTGTGCTGTATGATGATAAAACTTGCAGCACAGGGATGTATAGGGACGGGGAAGAGGGGCATATAGGAGTGCGTATTCGAGGAGACATGGAGTTTAATAATCGACGGAACGTGTTTGCTCATGATGAATCTCTCAAGTTGTCATCGGCTATCTCTCTAAGCACTATTGTAACTTATCCTTTCTTAATTATTGTTTTGTCAAAACTCTTCCCCAGGGTCCTCTCTGCGTCGACATCCGAGATGGCGGCTACCGACTCAGTAGAGTCCGCCTGTGGATTGGCCTGCCGCCATCTTGGAT